ATGAGATGTCTCCCAGCTGCTTAGAAATCAAGTTACCCTCCCCAGACAGAAAGTACGTAAATCTACCATGGCCCACCAATGACCTCTAAGGGGATGCCTCAGACCCAGACCTCACTGTCTAAAGAGGGAGTGGGTACAGGGAAGACATCAGCCCTCCTTCTGGTAGCCAGCTTTCCATCACTCTGACAAAATATCTGGAATAACCTCCTTATAAGGAGGAAAAGCTGGGGCTGGAGAGATGGCTCCGTGGTTAAGAGCACAGGCTGCTTTTCCAGAGGACCCGGGGTTCCATTACCAGCACCCACATGGCAGCTCACAACTGTCTAGAATTCCAGCTCCCAGGGGTGTGACACATTCACACCAACACAACAATGCACAGGAAAAAAATAAAAATAAATAATTCATTGAAAAAATTGAAAAAAGGAGGAAAGCGTGGTTTGGGCTTGTGGTTAGATATGTCCACAGTCACTTGGCCTCACTGTTTTGAGTGGTGGCACACTGTATCATGGCGAGAACACATGGCAGTCAGAATACAAAGAGGGACAGAGAGAGTCTGGGGTCCCGTTATCCCTTTCAACGTACCCCCAGTGGCCTGATTTCCCTCTACTGGGCCTCACCTACTATAAAAGTCTTACCACTTCTCAACAGGGCCTTTGGCTAGGAACCTCTTTTCTTTACCACGTGGCCCTTTGGGGGACATTTCAGATCCGACCACTAATGCTGCTCTGGCCCCCCACTCTGCACCGTTGATTCTTGGTCATCTGCAGTCCCGGTGGAGAACTACGTAACCACGGCGTCCGTCTACCAAGGGCATTTTTCCCTTAGTTTCTAATGATTCGTCCAAAAGGTGCCTTTCCTGCTTCTGAAGGAGAGAGAGTGAAGCCTCTGCCTAACACTGGGAACTATGCCATGCAGAAAACATTTGTGTCCCGCTGGGGCCGCCGTGCATCATTAACTAGATGCCTTTAGTTGTATCTGAGCTGAGCCACAGGCCAGCAGGTGGGGCAGCTCTGAAGTATTCAAAGAGCCAACCTTGAGTTTAAGGCACATTAAAAATGGACTCCAATTTTTTTTTTTTTAGATTTATTTATTTATTTATTTATTTTTGGTTTTTCAAGACAGGGTTTCTCTGTGTAGCTTTGTGCCTTT